ACACACCCCCACCCACACACACACACACACAGTTTGCTTTTAGCCCCCAGGCATAGCATTTGAGAGTTTCATTTACTTGATTAAATTATATTTGCATATGGAAATTGTTTGAAAATTATATGAATTTGTTATATTCAAAAGAGAATTACTTTCTTATATTAAAGCTAAAGGAGACAGAGGCTGACAGGTGATGGTAGTAAACTTTGCTCAGAGGGCCCGGTCAGGAAAACCTTGTGCACACACACGCATGCACGCACACATAAAAACTGTCATTTACTTTTCAAAGACATAAATCCTAAAGCAGTACCACCATCAGAGGTGAGGTTGAGTCCAAATCTTCATCCAACCCCCACATTACAATAAACGGCCATGACTCTGTCGTCTTTGTGCAGGTGTGTGTGACTGATGGTGAACTGCAAGCCGTCACCATAAGACCAATCTTCTCCTGAGCCAACTTAACTTATGAGGAACTCCAAGAAAAAAAAAAAAAAAAAAAAAAACAGGCTAATTAATTAAGAACAGTATTAGAAGTAATGGGATATTATAATATAAATTGCTACATTCTGGAACCAATTTAATCCAATTACTGGAACCCCTCATGAATATAATACCTCCAAAATCACTCCGTCAGAGTCCGAAGGGAGATGTGTCTGACTAGTAAGGCTGAAAGAAAAGAAAAAAATCTGCTCCCTTTTAACAGCGAACACCAACAATTATTTAAATGCTTGAGAGGAACTGTTAATTTGAGTAATAAACCCAGTGATAATTTTTTTTCTAATTGACATCTCGACCATTTTACAACCTGAGTAGGTTTTTGTTTGAGCGCGGTCGTGTTTGAAAAAGATGAATGACGTTAAAGGCTGATTGGTGCCGTTTCTCTTAATGGCCCTTATCCAATTTAAAAAGTGTCTAAAAAGAGACAAAAGGCCCACAGTTCAACTCCTGGCAAAGTGAAGTGTGATTTAGAGGAATGGATAAATTGACAGGAAGAATGCCTGTAACCTCAAAGGCACAGGATATTTGATTTTCTTCTTTTTTTTTGCAAAAATAATTTAATTAAATTGAACTTTTTATCGATACAAAAGTATGAAAATGTAATATAATAATTTAAAATTTTCTAAATGAAGTTATATGCTATATATTCATTCGCAGACAGATTTTTGTTTGTTGGGTGAGGTTAGAAAAACCATTCATTTGAATTCTTATAACATTCCTTTCAGTGGCTCAAGCTACATATTTAAAAGTATATGTGTGACTTGGCAGTTAAAGAATTCTTCTCTGTTCTAAATATTGTCTTTGCAATGCAGTCAAATTTTTGAACTCAACTATTTAGAGTATTTTTCTCTGCAAAATGATAAATGCAAAAGTTACATTTTTTGAAACTGACATGAAAGAAGAATAATGAATGCTAGCTGATTAAAAGAAAAATCAAGAAGCGAGAAGCTGCTGCGGTTCTTCTTTCACCCCATGATATAAATATCATAATGTCTGGTCTCCTTTAAACAGGCATCATGTTTAATGCCTGAGTTTAAAGGAGCTATGGAACATTCTCAGCTGTTTAGGTACTAATTGGAGCACAGCTAGCTAGTGCAGAAAATTAGAAAAGCATTAGGGAAAAACTGTTACGAACCATGAATTCAAAAGTAATCATAACACATTTTTTTTATGTTTATATTATTTTTTTTCCCCTTGTAGCAGGTAAAACTTGTAAATTATGCCCTGCAAAAGTGTTTATACCTCATGAAGTTCTAGGTCACAGTTGGCTTTAGTTGAAACTGCATACATTTTGTTTTCATGTCCAGGTTTCTCATTTTCTTTCAGTTTAAATGTTGTCCTATCTTGAACTCTCAAACAGTTGTTTTATTATTAGCAGTATTAAACCCACTCACACCCAGGGTGGGAGCAAACATACACTATTAAACTTCACAAAAGAAGAAAAAAATTATTTAAAAAAAAAAAAAAAAAAAAAACTTGGCCATGTTTTTAATCAGCAACAAATATGCTTTACAATGCATATTTGATTACATCAGCTTTCCATTTTTTATCAATTCGAGAGGGAGGATCTCGTTAAAGTGAAGCATTTGAACTATAGTGTGAAATATTGAGAAAGATATGAAAGAAGAGCCGTGTATTCCCCGGTGGACCCTTCAGACAATCAGGCCATTCAATTGAGCCGACAGATCTGAGGGGCTTCTTGTTGTTGAGAAAATACTCGGCACGCCACTAAAGCTATTACCACATACATACAAAAAACAATGAAATTTGAGTCCGTTCAGTTTCATTGACTCACTCAAGAGCAATTTAACAGGTTGTGTGGGTGGTCACACAGAAATATTCCACTTTATTCCCATCAACAAACAACAGACAACACAATAACACAATGTAATTGCACTGGTAGATGAAGATGAGAAACGGCACCAGTGGTCCGGTGGTGCTATCATATACTCAGACATGGTAAATCTCCATGTAATTGCTGCTTAGAGCACTTCAACAGCATTTTACCATTTATTTCAAATTGTTAGTTCAACACTATAGATGTAGTCGGCCCTTTAAAACAACTTCTTTCTTTTTTTTGTTTTTGAGGAGATTTAGTGAAGAGAACAAGTTCATTGCCTGAAGTAATTCATTCTTTTCATAAATGGACTGCCTGTTTGTGCTTACACCTGACATTTGTGCAGCTATAGTGTCTTTTATCAAATTATATTGATAATGATGGCAGCCCGTAGAAATCGTACAAGTTAAAATTTACATTTCTTAACCACTGCTTTCCTTTTCTCTTAATAAAAATATAATAAAAAAGGTACATTTGTAGAAGGAGTAGGGAATGCTAATGGTAGTTAGGTTGGTTTTTATTTTAGTTCTGAAACAATTAACCTCAAAATAACATGTTTTTTCTCTTGAAAAACACAGATTTTTGGTTTTTGGGCATCTGAATAAAACTGAACATAAACACACCTACAATGCATGCCATATAACCTTTTTACAAATAACTTGATTGAAATACCTCAATTCTAGAAGAGATTCCATCATTTATGTAGAATTTACTAAACCTTAAGAACTACAGAATTTTCCAAAAATTTGATGTATTTTATCATTTCAAATTTCCATATTTGATGATTGAAAAACTAATGGAAAGTTATGTGGAATTCAAGCCAAGGATTGTCACCAACTCTGACTTCAAAATCCAAAATGGCTCCCTTACAAATAAAACCTTAGGGAAGTTTGAGTATAAACTGTACATTTATTCTTATTGTAACTTGTATCTCATTCAATTTGTCATATTGCAGCAGTGTAAAATGCAATTATGATTTACTTCAGAGGTGTCCAAAGTCAGTGCTCAAAGGTTATTTACCACTTTATCACTGTTAATCTGTTCGCAGTTACCTGTGGAAATAATTATTCTGAAAATTTCTTCTCAATACCACTAAAGCCTAAGTACCTCCAGGGTTACAGTTTCAGAATATTTTAGTGCTTTGTGACTGTAACGGTCATATTTCACAGAGGTGGACCTGTGTTGGAACCTGATTATCATTTGCTACATTATCAAGCACATAGCGTTTACCACATTACTGTAATGACAAGCTTTTTGCCACCGTGTGTGTATGGGGAAGGTGTGCTTGTTTGGTGATTACTCATGTTCAGTCATAAGCTGAATCTAAATGTTGCTTCAATGACAAAAGCATTGGTGACTGTGTACAAATGTTATGTGTTAAAGGAAGATTTATGTGTGTGTGGGAGTGGATTTGGCCTCCTCACCTTTGCGATTGTGACGTTATTAAAAGGTATTTTTTCGTGTTTCAGATGGCTGAGACACAGAGGAAGCTGAAATGGAGAGCTCCTAATCTGCCCATTATACACATCATGTGTCAAAATATAGAAAGCTTAGTTGCGTTGCTATCCCAATCCATGACATTCTGCTGCTTTTATGGTCTCAGAATTTTATATGAAATATGATTATAAGCAGCACGGCATGAAATTACAGTGAGGTGTTAGCCAAATGCTCCTGAAAGGACAGTTTGTTTATCATTCAGTTCATTAATGCCAGGGAACATTTTAAAAATACCTGGTTCAACATTTAGAGCCATATAAAATTAATATTTTATAGGAATTAAGATTAAAAGTAAGGTGCAACTAATAAAATGCAGCTGAGTAACTAATCACCAGCAAGTGTGACTGTCTCTGTGAAAGCAGGTGTTTCAGCAGTTTGCTGCTTAAACACAATGACGAGAAGGAAAGACATGAGCATATAGAGAAACATCTGTTGCTGCCTATCAATCAGGGAAAGGTTACAGGGCCATCTGCAAACTATTTTGCAACTATCACAATTTTCACATCAATAGGGAAATGGATTAAGACTTATGAACTCCTCTGTTTTTAGAAGATAAGGACTTTCAGGGAGCAGTTCACATTTGTCCAGTTAAAAGCCTTGGCTTTCATGTCAACAACTTCACAGTCATGTCCTAAAGATATCAAAAAAATTGAGATTCCCAAATCTCACACTCGCCTCTCTGACTACATCAGGAGATCCTTCCGTATTTAAACAGGCCTGGTGACCATGGGCAATATTGGTGGAGGCTAAACAACACCAGGAAATAATTAACTTTTTGCTGAAAATACTGACACTTCCTTTGATTAAACAAGGTTCTGAAAACTTTTACTAGCATTCCTGGAATACTGTGTTTCTGCAACAACCACAAAATCTTTACTTGATCTGCTGTATTCATTTTAGTTTTATGATATAAATCGATGAACTCAGAGTTTCATCAGCGGGTTCCGACCTGACATTTTTTCTTCGTTTCACAATTCAAAATATTTTCTTTCAAACTTTACATACCTTTAGTTTGCGCAATACGTATCATTCCCACCCTAATCCTTCCTTAATTTATATTATTTGTACAGTTTAATTTTATTTAGTTTATCTATATTCACATAATACCTAATCTTTGCTTTAACTTTTACTTTGTTGCAATCAAAAAAGGTTTTATGTGTATCTTGAACAGAAAACACTTTCTGGAGGCCGGATGGAACTCAGCAGATCATCAGATTATGGCAGCAAATCCACGCATGTAAGGAGGTCAGAAGACTCATGGTATGTACCTATTTGATGATATTAAGGGAAAATTTATTTTTTTATTTCTGTATTCATATATGTAAGCCATATGCCCCAAAGGAAGCAATTATGATTTATCTTTACCACAATCACGTAAATGAAATGCATATGAATGTTAGGAATGTGGTAAAATAGCAGCTTTTTTTATTTCAAATTGTAATTAATTAGAAATTAACAAGTTTGCATCATCAAAACTTGTCTTTTAATTGAGAGATTTTACCATAATCTTTGTCTTTGGATGGCTGGGAGTGACTGCATGTGATTTAGCTGCTGCAGACACTGACCCAGAGGGTTGTCTATTAGCAGTTGTCAGCAGTAATGACCAATCCCTTTAACATTTTAGAGCCAAAGCCATTTTTAGTGTTCTTCCATGTTTAACTTATTTATAGACAATGTCAGGCCTGTAATAAACATAAAGCATAAAACTGAAGCTAATGCACTACTAATGAAATCTGGATATAGACACGTTTATGAATGAAATAATTTAGAGCGCTCTCGGAGTGTTAATGGAGATTAGTGGCTCAGGAAGAGTTAACTCCATGCTGAAACTTAGAGCACATTTACTCACTCTTTGTTTCTCTGCATTTGAAAAACTGACTGAATAAACTTCATTCAGTTATGTTTTCAACCATGAGAGCAACGCTTCCATGCTCTGAGGAATGCCTTGGATAAAACTGGTCTTGATTTTCCTGTAAAACTTTTTCCCATCTGTAAGTTGCTATCGCATTAATGAAGTGCAGTATTCTAAGATTGGAGACACATTGTTTAATTTACAAGAAATACAGAAGGAAATGGAGATGGAATTTAAAGGTAGCTGGTTACAATAAAGTAGCTAAATTGTTCTTTATATAAACGACCTTCAAACTTATCACTACCCCTGGAAAAGATGTGCAAAAAAACTTTAAAATCAATTGATTTTGCAGTAAAATATGTATGCAGTGGCTTAATTCTAAAAACAAACAAACCCCCCAAAAAATCAACCTTTAATTTGTGTATATCTATTCAGCAGGTTATAAACACTACAAATTAAGAAACAACAGCCCTGCTGGTAAAATGTCTTTGGTCAACAAGGCATCACTCATTCTTCTCCTAACCCATATAACATCGCTGGAACATAAAGGATGTTTGGCCATTTTTTTTCTCACAGTCTCTAAATTCTCCACAGCCCTCAGCTCTGTGCTGTGCTTTTTTTTTTATCTTTGACTCACCCTACAGACTTCCTCTAGGATGCAGTTCTAGATACTGAAATGGCAAAGAATGAAGGTTGACTTTGTGTCCAAACCAAGTCTTTGTTGATCTGGCAATATGTTTTTATCATTTTCCTGCTGATAAAAAACACATTGAAGTCAACTCTAACAAGTTTATCTGGACCTTCAAAGCATCTCACAACCTCTAGCATTCTTAACATTGGTTATAAGGTTTTACACATATTCATCTGACAAATCATCTGTACTGTTTGTTAGAGAAACGCTCAATATGAGTCAAGCTTCAATTAAAATATTATTATATTTATCAAACTCTACTGGCTTGAAAGAAAGATGAGCTTTATATTCTGCTTGCAAACTCTGATGGCAAGATTAAAATGTTTCCTCGTCCTGCTTTATTTGAAACAGTTCCAGTTTTGAACCTTGTCGCAATTGATGGGAGAAGATTTATGAGCAAATAACATCTGAACTGTTATGTTGTCTTTTCTTTCTCATTTTGAATAGCAGCTAAGAAGAGAAATTGTGATCCCAGACATTTTTATAAACATAAAAATGTGAAGTTTTCTGTATTCTGTTGGGAATAGAAGAGGTGCCAATAGGTGTACCACTGGAATGTGCGCTGTACTCAACTGCAATCTGGAACAGGTGCCACAAGATGTCACTGAATCAAACAGACTGAATGGGTAGCATAGATTCAAATAAGCCTTTATGTATCAAAGACACCAGTGATTGAAAGAAATGTTCAGAAAACTGTGAGATTCGAAGTTTTAAACTTTGGAAATTATGGAAGCAATTGTTGGATGTCTCTCTTTACACATTAAAAGCGTACAGTTGCCTTATGTATCTATGCGTGTTCAGATGTTGGTGATAGATGTGAATTTTTCCATTATTCTCTGCAAAAACCTGCTTATCTGAGTTGCTCTACATGAGGTGTTGAATTCAGACTGTGTGTACACTTGTGCAGGCATGCGTACAATTGTGTGTCCACGCGTGTGTGAGGAAAGCGCATGTAAATCTCCTGCTACCCCCGTCTTATTGCTTTCTTGAGCTTCTCAGGGAGAAATCCCCTTGATTCAGCCCAGTCCCTGAGGCTAGAGCCCATACACAGCAGATGTTCCACTGAAAAGGCCATGAATGTTTAATCATTTGTGTTATTGATGCCGCCTTTTTGTTTGTTGGAAAGTGTGAGCGACTGTTACGGTCTTATGTGTCTATTTTTACATGTTATGTATCCATCTGTGCATGTGAAGCAGGAGCAGACATACTTTTAATGTTCTTTTTTCCTCTCTTTTTTTGAGGATGGGATCTCTTTACTTTATATTCCCAGTAATGAACGTACAAAGACATCTATTAAAAATGTTATTCATAAGATTGTGGAAGGCTGTGAGTCAAATATCACATCAGTGGTCTCTCACAAAACATTTCAACCTCTCTTTTTCTCTTTTGTCAAACTGAAAGTTAAATCCTACATTTGGACAAACAGACAGGGCCGCAGATCTAAACTGTGATTTGTTAGACTTAAAGCTGCTGTTTTAGTGTTTGAGCTGACAGCCAGATTTGATCATAATTAGACAGCATGCCGAGGGCTTTGATTGGCACGGTAATTGGATTGTCATTGGGGCTGAAAAGCTATTATCTTTGGATCATGCCCCATGAAATTTGTTGGAAAAACTTCTGTGGCCATCATTAAGTCAGCCATCTTGGGGGCCTTCACAAATGAGCTTTTTTTAATGGCAGAGAAAAAGCAACAAGAAGAAAAGGGGAGAGAGTGGAAAAAAAGAAAAGAAAAAGTACCTGAGTACCGCTGGGACCCTTAGATCCTCTGAATCGCAGCAAAGACAATCTGAGCTCCATTGATTAATGATATTAGCATAGCAGGTAGCGCTAAGTCAAAATGTGGCATGCTGGGTTATTGCCCATCTCTCTTGCCCACTCGCTAGTAACAGGATTAGGAGGGGTGGGGGCGACAAGTGAAGGAATGTAATAATGAAAGTGGAGTGAGCTTAGAAGAAGTGAGTGGGAGCGGTGCAATGAGAGGCAAAGAAAGAAACTGTAGGGTGGCTTACATTTACAATTGTTTATCTGAAGCATCAGCTACTATCCAAATCTTAGAGAAATAACCAGCAATGTGAAGTTTTAAAAATCACAATCATGAAGTTGAGATGATTTCAAAACTATTTGGGTTTCAAGTTAACATGGCCATCATAGTTAACTTGAAATATAGTGGACTGACTGCAGTATGTAACAAACAGAAACAAGGAGAATCAAGAAATGGTCATTTATCTTGCTTGAAGTTGACTGACTTACCGTTTTTCTTCTCAGTTTATCTAGTCACAGTTTGGGGACAGAAGATTAGAAAATATGTTTACACAAAATAACATGCATTCCCAAATTTACCTTTGTATTTTAAGTTAAAAAAATTTAATTACACCAAATGGTCATAGTTGTTTGATCACGCATCAACTAGACATCAGAATCCAGGATTATCCAGGATCAAGTTAAACTGAAGTTTGTTGCAGAATGATTCTGTGTGCCAACATTTTTTACGACTACCTGAAAATTACTGAGTCTAATAAAAACTTTTAATCTTTCAAGTATGGGCATATTAATAATATCAGTTAACTTCAGCCAGGGAAATTACACAGGGTTTTGCAGGCATCATATTTAAGGTTTTTTGTCTAAAGACAAAAGAAAATATTGCTTAAGAGAAACTTGGACATCTTTGCAAACAGGACCGTAAAATGCGAAAACTGAGCAACACAAAAATCAAACCGCAATAGAAACAACATGAACACTTTTTAGAAAGATTCCTTGAATCTACATTTTAATAATTAGCGGTAGACAGTCATCAAACTAGTCGATTGTCACCACCTATTGGGATCTGGTTATACCTTATGGTAAAAATAAATCCTGCAGCTTTTATATTTATTATGTGATATCATATATCATATGATATGAGAAATACACACATGTTTACATACTTTTCAGAAGACAGGGTAAAAATATCAGCAACTTAGCTCAAGGTGATCAAGAATACAAACTGTAAGAGAAATTTTTTCATAGCAATTTTCAGAGGTACAAAAAGTTGTACAATGTCTACAAGCATTTCACAGAAATACTGACGTTATATGATTCTGATGCAATACTGGGTAGTTGATTGTAGGAAGCATATTGTTAATCAGAAATTTAGGGGCTCCTTGTTTGTGTTTTCAAAGTGTGCTACCTCTGGCATGTGATACTGGTTCACACATACTTATCGGCTTGTTTTGCATTTTTGTGTGCTGCGTTCATGCAAGATAGTAAATATGGCTTTACATCATATCTGAAAGGTGTAACGCAGCAAAGAAATGTTTTGTCTTCCTGATGGTAGATCTCTCCATTTCCTCTTTTTTTATTGTGTCTGTGGGTGAAAGTTTCCATGCAGGCACTGTTGATCAGAGCCTATCAAGTAGCATCTGATTTGCATTCAGTGGACGCATCATTATTCACAACATTTGATGTCCACAAAAACACATTAGACCTCTGTTTTGATGCCGAATGGCGTTGGTCGCGACCGCCCAGACATCATTTGTGCACCCAAATAGTCAGATGTAAATTGATATGTAAGAAAATGCCCCATTAACTTTTTCATTAATGGTTATAATGCATTCTGAGTGACATCCGCGGGGCGGTGTGCCTCTTTGAGCATGGCCATGCACACATGCGCCGCACACAAAACAACACAGTAACAAACAGTGAAAAAGCAGAACCAAAATAAAACATGCAACCAAACAC